CCAGAATTTACCCCAACTGTGCATGCATTCAGTTATTTTTAGTCCCATATAGTTTCTTTGTATTTGGTTGCTTGAGGAGAAACTTGTCTAGGTACAAGCACTGCAGCAAAGGGCCCAGGTCCCAGCCTGTCTCAGAATGACCTCCGAGAAAAAATACCTCAGATCCGTGCTGGTTCCTTCTGGGGCATCACTGCACGGATGGTGCCTCCACCTTCCCCACTGGGCCTGGTCCTGTTGGGAAGCCCCATGAAACGGGCGTGGGCACAGAAGGCTGTTCTGGGGGCAGGTCTGTGTTGTAGGAATGGCTTCTCTTTTTCCTTGTGGTGCCCCAGCGCCTGGAATGTGGTAAGGGTTCAACTCACTCTAACAAATAGTTACTGAGTAAGAACCAGGTGCCCAACTCTGGGGGCAGAGCTTGAACAGGGCAGATAAAGACCCTGCCCTCATAGAGCTTATGTTCTAGAAGTAGCTCACATTCAAGCCCTGTTGATTGACTCACTAAAAATCTGTTGAATGAATGAATGAGTGAATGAACACACAAGCACATCTCCCTCTGGGGAAGGGAAAACACACACATCTTTGGCTCTCCAACATCACCTTGACTGCCCCCACTAGCTTTGTCATTCTCTGTCTGCCCTGATCTCCTGGTCCCAACCCACTATGGGCACCGCGGGACTGTCTTGGAGCCCCCGAGACTAGCCTGCCACCATGTCCTTGTTCTGAGCCTCCTCGAGCTCCCTCTTTGGGCTGATAGAATGATATAATAATTCAGCAAGCTCCTGGGCCTCTGCTTTCCCCACACACAACCCCCAGCCCTCCAGTTCTCAGTTGCCCACACTGGTTTCTGGCTCCTCCCACCCGCCTCCCTCCCCAGAAACGGACCCCCTTCTTTCATATACTGATGTTTTGCATCCTCTGGCTTTTCAGCAAGAGATACTCTGCTCTCCAGCCCTGAAGAGTGAGAAGGGACACAGAAAAAGAGGTGGTTCAGAGAAGTGTTAGTATTCATAAAAATAGCTGTCTCCACTGAGCATTGACCACACGCTGGGTGATCTTTCCAAGCCTTGTCTCGTTTAATCCTCCCAAGAAGATAGGTTGAGTTGTCCCCATTTTACAGATGAGGAAACTGAGGCTTAGAGAGGTGAAATAGCTTGCTCAAAAGCACAAAGTAGTAACCAAAACTCAAGAATTCGACTGGGGTATGGGAAATCAGTATTGCTTCTTGCTCAAAAGCCTCCCATAGGCAGGGAGAAGCAGCCTGAGACTAGATACCCCCTGAAAAGGGCCCGCCTCCTCCAGGAAGACTCCTGTGATCACCTCCCCCAAAGGAATTCTTGGCTCCTCCATGAGCCTCAGATGACGCTTGGCAAATACCTGTTGCTACAGCCATGATCTCCCAGACTTTGGCCTCTCACTTAACTGTGAGTGGTGTTATCTCCCCCACCAGCCTGTGAATAAGCTCGTGATGGGCGGCAACAGTGTCTGAAATTCATTTCTTTCTCTCCGATGGGGACTAGGACTGTGCCTGTGCGTCTTAGGCCTGGCGACATGTTTCTAGAACTAAAGAGAAGGTGTCTTGCAGCATCTTCTCAGGCTTACACCATGCCCTCTGCCCACTGCCTGTGATTAGCCCCACCCCCTCCCAGCCTCTGTCTTGAGGGGTTCAAACCTCCAAGAACTGCAGAATAACCTCCTTGCAAATAACCACTTGCCCACTGGCCTGGGGCCTGAGAGCGAATTTGGAGTCTGTTACTTTCCTTTACCTTCCCTGAGGCTGAGGGAGGTCTGAGAGCCAGCTGCAGGGAGCTGGGACCGTGGATGCCTTGACTGGAAGGAGATCAGTGCTTGTCTCCGGCTGCCCGAGGCCAGTTTAACCACAGCAGCCAGACGCGGGCCCCAGAGAAAAAGATGTAAATAAAACCAAAGTAAAACTAGGTGCGTCCTTGAAACGCCCCTGTCCCTGGGCCTGAAACAGCGATTTACGATTCAGATAATTCTTCGGTGCTTTATCTGGGGTGTGTGGGTATGTGTTGAGTACGTGTGGGGTGTGGGTGTATTTTCCCACTAATAAAAACCTCAGTCCCGGAGAATAAATTTGAGGAGACAGTTTTACTGACAGATTTTTTTTTCCTCCTTTGTATAATAAAAAAAAAAAAAAAAAAAATGGAGTGAAATTTGAAATTGGGACGATAAGGGCTGCCGCATTTTAGGAGGAGATAAAAAAGCAGTACCTGAAGGGAGGCGAGGCTGCAAGTCAAACAGGCAGGATGCCTTCCACTTTTACGACTTTAGGAGAAGATTACTCAAACCTCCGCCGGGCTTCTGGCATCCTGCCTCCTGATGAGGCAGCCGCTGAGTGTAGAGAGAGAGGCCCCGAGAGGCGCTTAGCTCATCCTCAGCCCTTTCAGCCTAGTGGCTGGGATGTGAACCCTGGTCTGGGAGCCAGAGCTCTGCCAAGAGCCCCGTTGTGGGACCTCGGATGAATCACTTTGCCTCGCCAAGCCTCAGTTTCTTCATCTGCAAAATGGGAGATTACTGTCTATTCTGCTCTATACAAAGAGATGCGCTTCAAGCAGATTTCTCAGCCTTGGTGTTGTTGACATTTGGAGCCAGAGAATTCTTTGGGGGCCTGTGCATCGTAGGATGGTCATAGCATCCCTGGCCTTTGCCTGGTAGATACGAGGACCACGTCTTGCCCCTGAGTTGTGACAACCAAAACTGGCTCCCGACATTGTCAAATGTCCCCGTGAGGAGGAGGGGGCAAAATTGTCCCCCAGTTCAGGGGCCTGGGTTACAGGTACTTTGCTCTTCTTCCTCAGGCTTCCTCCATTCTCATCATCCCCTGTTTGGGAAACCGGTGAGAGGCAATGTGAGAGGACCAGAGGATGAGATGTCTTGCCTTCTGACGGCACCCACGCACAGTCAGAAAAGCGCAGAGCCCTCAGAGAGGGAACAAGTGAAGTGTGTGAGCGGTGCATGAGCCTGCTGGAGACACAGAGGTGTGAGCTCGGCAAGGAGACACCGTGTAGTGGGAAGTCCCACCACTGATCCCTCTCAGGGTCCTGGAGCTAGTGAATGTGTTGTCATCACTCTAACCCTCACCAGCCGGGGCTCCCTGGGGACCCCGGTACTAATAGAGGTCTCCTACGCATGGCACACAGCTGGCACTCAATAAATGCTGGCTGGAGCGCACTGAATCTGTGTTCCCTAAACCAGCAGCACTACCACCTTGGCCAGACAGATGTGGTCCAAGTCAGCTGGGGTCCAGATGTGCCCAAAGGAGGCCAGCTGCCCCAGGGCCAGTCCTCCCAAGAAGGTGGCAGACCCACCTCCAGGGCCGCCTTTGCTGGGCTGGGGAAGCACCTTTCGGCATCTCGAGCCCTCCCCCAAGCCCCTTGGAGAAACCCTATCCCAGCATCTCCCCCCTCCGCCAAGCCCCTTGGAGAAACCCCATCCCAGCATCTCCCCCCTCCCCCAAGCCCCTTGGAGAAACCCCACCCCCAGCCCCCTCTCCTGCCTGCAGCACACAGCCACAGGGAGTTAATTCCACTTCTTCAGGAAGCGGAGGCCTCCCTGTTGCAGGCTGTTAGCGAGGCTGCAACTCCATAATAGAGTTGCTGAGACAAGCGGAAAACTGCAGCGGAGTAAACAGATAAATAATTGAAACAGTGACAACACATACCTTGCTGCTTTGTGGAGTAACACTTTCATTAGCGGGAGGCAGCACAGCAGCGGGGATGGGGATGCGGACAGGCGGCAGGTGGGATTAGGGCACACTTTGGTCTGGCTTTTAATCAGCTGTGAACAGCTGGGCACCTGTGCAGCCTTTGTCTTCCAGCGTGGGCTTTATTACCACCTCCTGAGAGCCCCTGCCTTCTCGGGGCCTCCTTCATATTCCTATGTGAAACGGGGACTTCCTGACACCCCTCCTGGCCTGTCCCAAGGGCAGCCAGAGGCAGGCAAGTCCCCCACACTGTCCTCTTCTCTCCATCGCTGGTGTCAGTAGACTCGGTTCTCCCTAGCCACCCCAGGTTCCCCTGTCTCCAGACAAGTCCCTTCAATCTCTTCTAAGGCCAGAGGGAGCTTGTAAATAGAATCTGAAACTCTGCACCTCCTTGGCCTTCGGGGGAGTTGAGTATCTTTGCCCGTCAGGCGCTCCCTGATGTGGCTCCCATTTCACTCCTCGGAGTCTACTCTCTTCACTTCCTGTCTGCCCCAGGCACTCTGAACACAGTCTCCTTTCACTGAGCACAGATGCTTCTTTCCCACCCCAGGGCCTTTGCTCCTGCTGTCCCTTCTGCCTAGAAAGCACTCCCTCCATTTACTAGGCTGGTTCCTACTCTTCCTTCAGAAGACAACTTACGCACTGCTTCCTGCAGGAAGCCCTCCATGATTACCCTATCCCCAGGATGGGACCTCCCCCTCCTCTGGGCTCCCTAGCTATTCTGGTCTTCTCCCTTGAAGAATTTATTGGAAACCATTGCAGTTTAGCTTGTTTGAATCCGTATGAGATCTTGGTACAGGTGCCTGCCCTTGGCCCCATTTCTTCTCTCTTTCTATCCAGCCTGCTCCCCCATTCCCTCTCTCCTTGGGTGGGGATGGCTTTGGCACTCTGGCTGACTCTGCAAAACACATTCACACTCTCTGGCCCTGTCTGCAGCTCCCCAAGGTTTGCTTGTCATTTTTGCAAGGCCAACAAGTGGGATGCAGAAGTGGGACCACCTGGTGCATCGGTAAGGGCCAGAAGAAGAGGCAGCCCTACTCCTCCTTAGCTGTAGGGCCTCAGGAAGGCACTTGACTTCAGAGCCTCAGCCTGCACATCAGTGATGTGGGGATGACCCGGGAGGATAATAGCGATGGTTGTGACATCTCCCCCAAGAGGCTTCTCCTGGGGCTGCCTGCATCTCCCCAGCATCCCGGGAGCCCACTCACCGCCTGGAGGAAAGGGGTGGCAGGGCTGGCTGAGCACTCACCTGTGACTCCTCTGTGCTCTGTTGCAGGTGACGGATGGCGGCACCATCAAGCAGAAGATCTTTACTTTCGACGCCATGTTCTCCACCAACTTCTCCCACATGGAGAACTACCGCAAGCGAGAGGACCTGGTGTACCAGTCCACCGTGAGGTGAGGGCTGGGTGGTGTCCGGGGGGCCACTTCTCTAGCCCTTTCATGTTTATCCCACACGCAGTGCTCTTGGAGTGGGGAGGGGGGGTCTCAGGATCACCCTCCATGGGCTTGGAAGGCAGAGCTGGGGCTGTGCTGCAGAAGGGGGACCCATTCCCAAGGGGAATCCTCCCCTGGAGGGAAGAAGCAGGAAGGGGTCAAGTTGCAGCTCTGCCACATGGAGCAGACCCTTTATGTCGGCCTCTCCAGACGGCTCCTCCAACAGTCCCGCAAAGTGGGTTTTCCAAACCCCTTTCCAGGTGAGGACACTGAGGTCCAGAGAGGGTGAGCAATATGCCGAAAGTCACACAGCCAGAAATGCCAGAGGTGGGATGTAAACCAGCTCTACCCGGTTCAGAAGCCTGTGGAATACGTCCTATTGTTCCCCACGGGCTCTAAACCTGGGAAGGAAAACAGACCCTAAACAACCGGACCCTAGGTTCAAAGCAGCAACAGGGTGGGGAGGGAAGAGCCCTTGGGGATGGAGACACTTCATATTTCTACACCTACCCCTTTCCTAGAAGACTTTAAGGTAGCGGATCCCCTTCTAGGCCCTGCTGTGTTCTAGGCGTGTGGGTACCCACGGCCCCACTCCCCTCCCACCCACTGCCTAAAAGGCCCCAATCCTATTTTATTGCTCTGACCCTTTACACTTGATGGGTGCTGTTCCCTTTGGCCACCTGGTAAACTCCTCATCAGCCTTCAGAACCCAATCGAGCAGGTCCTCCTGTGGGACACCTTCTTTAGACAGCCCGCCACCCCAGCAGAACCGACCTCCCCCAAAGCCAATGGCTGCGGCTCCTCCAGAACACATGCACACACACACACACACACACGCACACACACACACACACACACATGCACACACACACACCCCCACACACACACGCATGCATGCTTTTTCACACGACACAGCCAAACGCTTTGCCTGGTGGCCAGGCAGAAAGTGGCAGTCTGCTCCGAAGCTAGAGGACAACCTGGCTACACCAGGCACGCAGGGAGATGCTGCAGGAGACAAGCTGGCTCGCGCTGTGCTTCGTGGGTGCCTGCCGCGTCCCCGCTTATGCCTCACCCCTGACCCGCCAGGAGGATAAGGCCCCACTCTCCACACACAGGTTGGTCCTTCTCTCTGTGACCATGAGCACCAGGACAGAATGGGTGCTCCCCCTTCACCTTGCACCCTCAGCTCTCAACACGAGGCCTGACACACAGTAGGTACACAATAAAATTTGCAAATTGAGTGGATGACCCTGGGCACCCTCCTTGGCCCTTTGGGTGTCAGTTTCCCTGTGGATAAAAGTAGAAAATGGGACAAGAAGATTGCAAAGGGTAAATCCAGCCCTGCATGGGGAATCTGGCCGGTGGTCCTTCCATGCCCACTTTGGTGAGAACGGAAGGTGGGTGTCTCCCCTGGAGGACCTTTCTGGGTGCTCCTCTCTCTGGGCTTTGTGTTAGGAGCTCAGACCCAGCGTTTGTTGGGGGAATCTTGTGAGAATGTGGATGTGAAGGGGCTCCAAAGAGGTGTACAAACGGCCACACAGATACCTTCATCCATCTATTTATGATTTCTCCTACACCCGCTTCCCAAAATGATTTGGGGTGCCTTAAAGCACACCTAAGACCCACCAGTTACCATCAAAATGAACAAAAGGTAAAAACTCATTTTGGAGAAGAAAATAGCTATCCTGGAAGCCACAGCTGATTTTGCACAGGTGGACATTTAGATCACCTCTAGCTTCCTAGAAACCCTTCTCCGCCTGCCACACCTCTGCCTGGTTACCAAGGTCTCTGGGAAGCAACAGCTCCCCACATACCATCATTTCCAGTCCCCCACCCGCGGCTGCAGGTATGGTCTCCAGGGTGTTTCCTTGGCTCTGACCCCCACCATCTCATGTAACCAGAGCACAGCCCTGGTACGCAAAGACCTGGTTCAAAGCCCAGCTCAGCTACTTCCTGCTGAGTTACCTTGGACCATAAGGACCTTGACCTCTCTCTGCCTTGGTGTCCTCACCTGTAAAGCAGGCTTAATATGATTGGCTTAAACAGTCGTTGTGGAGTTTGATGAGACTTACGTCTGATGGCTTGAGCTCTAATCCTGGCTCCTCCACCCCCTTGCTTCAGCTTAATCTTGGGTTGGTAACTCTGTGCCTCAGTTTCCCAGTCTCTAAAAGGGAATGACAACAGGACGAAGCTCACTGCAACCTCGTGAGTTGAGTTAATAATTTGCGTAAAGTGCAGCCGTAGTTGCTGAGTGGTGCACGCTCTTCTTGCCTAGAAAAGCCCTCCTTTCCTCATCATAAAAAAAAAGCCCTCACCTTTCCCAAATCTCACAAAACCCTCCCTGTGCACTCTTTCTCTTGATCCTCACTAACAACACCGGGAATGCAGGCAGGTATTATTATTATTATCATTAATTTCTGTAGTCCTGATTTGACAGATGGGGTCAAAGTTCAGCAAGGTCAAGGGACTTGCCCAAGGGTCCCCTGCTATAACAACATCAACTTGGTTGGACCTCAACCCACCTCATTCCACCGCTCCACCACCCTGCCTTTCTCATTTTACAGCTGAGGAAACCGAGGCTCAGAGAGGGAAAGAGACTAGTCCAAGGTCACACAGCAGCTCACTTGCGGCCAGTGCTCTCTTCTTCCCCAGCCTTCTCCTGGAGCCTTGGTTACAATGGGGGTTGGGTCTCCCAGGCAGAGAGCAGCAGGGCAGGGGGGCCTCAAGGAAGCCACAGAAGAAGGGAAGGAAGGAGCAGGCCCTCTTGGAGAGTCTGATCCTGTCACGGAGAGTTGCAGCCGCAGGAGCAGCTGTGCTGGCTGGCTGAGGCTGCTTCCCAGGTTGCAGGGCTTCGTTAGGGCTGGTGAGGGGTGCGGGACTCCACATTTACATATAAATGAAGATGTTTACAAATTAATGCATCTCATCTAGAGAGAGTCCCAGCTCCACAGCTGTCTGGGCCGCTTCCTCTTCAGCTGGGGAAAGTGGGAAGAGAATGAGACTGAGAAGATTACCAAGAGTTGGCAGAGAGCAATTTTCTGGGCAGCCAGGGGAGCCTTAGGGAATCCCAGAGCTTTTCCTCCCACTGGTGGGGTTCCCGGAGGGATGGGAGTCAGGTGGGGTGACAGGGCTTCTGTCCCCAGGTTGGGGGGTGCAGGTGTAGGGCCCCAGTTCATGACCTCTTGGGCAGGTCACTGCCCCTCTGCACACTCCAAAGATTCCATCGATCAAATGCCTTTCTAGTTCTGAGCCTCAGAGCCCAGAGCTCCAAGTTTGGAATTGACAATAATTTATTCCTTCAAAGGATATTTAACTGAGCACCTACTAGGAGCCTGGTGTGATGCAGGTGCGGGGGATCCAATGGGGAACAAGAAAGATGGGGCTTTACACTCTCGTGGGGCAGACAGAGAGGAAACAAGGGAAGCAAGACGTCAATAAATTTTTCATGACACGTTCCACAAAGATGTGGTTCCGATGGTGATCACGTAACGAGGGGCGAGCAGCTTGCAGTGCCAGGAGGACTAAGGTGCTGGGGTGGCAGGCAGAGCCTCCCAGGAAGGTGGCCCTGGGCTGAGACCTGTGGGCTGGGAAGGAGCCATCCATGGTGGGGACAAGGCAGGTGTGGCAGACGTCGGAGCCCAAGTGCCAGGGAGTTGATGTCTGGGAGCAGCCTCGGCCAATGACTGATGGGAGGTGTTAGATGAAACCCCAGTCCCCTCGTCCCTCCAGTGGGGCAACTCAGATGTGTCTTCTCCACTGTCCACGAGTTCCCCAGCGGGACTGAATAACCTCCAGGATGTACCTGTGTTGACTTCCCTCCCGCTCAATCACCACTCCCTTTCCAGCTGCCTGGGATACCCTCCTAAATAAGCCAGCGGCTCCCAATAGATTCCTTGTCTCAGGTTCTGTTTCTCAGGGGCCCCTAAGTGGGGACATAGGATATTAGTAACAGTCCCACCTGCGGGCATCCTGCACATCTGCCATCCTCTACCCCTGCCCTCTCAGGCCCTGCCTCAGGCCCCGTTCACCTGTTCCATCAGGCCGGGCACAAGTGGACCAGATGCATGGACCCCCCTCACTGAGGGGAAGGTTGTGTGGGCAAAACTCATTAATCCCTGCAGAATGTGGCCATCCCCAAATGGCAGCTGTGACCTCCTTGGAGGTCAGGGTGAATCACAGCAAGCCTTCACCAGCCCCTGCTCCCCCCACCACACCTTGTGCCTTCTGTTTCCCGAAGTCCTCTGCAGTCCATGCCCCATCGCATCAGCCCAGGTTGTCCCTAGGAACACCAAGCAGGCTTCACTGGCCCTCATTTGGCGGTGAGGGAAATCTAGACTCAAGGGTTCAAGAGTGCACCCCTCCCACGCCTTGCCCACCTCTCTTTGCCGAGGCCCTGCTTATCCTTTCAGGTTCAGCTTAAATGTTGCTTCCTCCAGGAAGCCCGCCCTGACTGCCCAGACTGGGCCAGGCACCCCAGTGCCCTTCCCCTCCCATACTCACTGCCCCGACACCGGGTATTCAAAGTGCCTCCTGCACCTGACCAGAAGCCACACGAGGATGGGGATTGGGGGTGATGTCTTCACTGCCATCTCTCCAGCCGCCCAGCCCAGCACCCCCTGCCCAGTGTGGACAATTTGTAGATAATTGTGGAGTGGATGAGTTAGTGGTAGAAGGCGTGGTGGATGTCTTTCACTGACGCTCTCACGGCTGCGGGATAAACTTTGGAAGAAGGAATTCAGGACTCCTCACCTTCCCCCAACCCGGGCATCATTTATTTATCACAAAGGAATGGAGCAATTGCTGTACGTCAGGGACGGTGCTGGTGATAAAATGGTGAACGAGACATAATCAGACCTGCTCTGGTGAGTCTTACGATGCAGGGGGTGAGAAGAGACAGACTATAAAAAAAAATGTGTTTGAAAGAATACAGAAAAATATCTTCAGGAGGTGATGAAGGAAAT